TTGATTGAGGACATCATACAAGCTCTCATACAAATTTTCTAAGTTCAAGAGTATGACCNATGCGACCANCTTTCCATACAAAGCCTAATTTCACTAATGTTTCTGCAAACCTATGATAGTTTATTTTCAATTAGAACTATTACTTCAGTCTTTTCATACCTGGGTAAACTCTTTGTCCTTGGGAAAACTACTGCCAAACAGAACAAATGGCTCAGCTTGTTGAATGCTGCTTTCTAGTGAGAACTGTGAGGTGTTGAAATCTTGCAAGCACTTTGTCACAATATAATGCTCGAAAACTTGAAGTGAAGAATAGTTTTGAGTCAAAAATAGAAGATAACGACTTTCTCTATTATTAAAAAATAAATTAAAATGCATGAATTATATCCGTAGTCATACCCATGATAAGTTGTTTTTTTATTTGATAAACTTGCACTGATTAAACCAAGAGAAGAATAATCAGGATTTGTAATGGGGTCATCCTAAATTTTTTGTAAAACAATATGAAAGTTAGTTATCATTAATACTGGAGCAATCAGGTGATATTGAGTGAAACTTTTTTGCTGCTCAGAACTTAATTTCTGCTGATAGGAACAAATGAAAGAAGCCTTTTTATCTAAATAATAAATAATTTAAAACTATATACCATATGGCTAGAAATTTCGAGGGCATAAATTTTCATGTTTTAGTGAAAAGCTCTTAATTCTTTAATTTCGAGGGAGTTAAATTTCGCGTTTTTGCACGTACACTTGCATTAAGTCATTGATTTTTACATGCTGCGCATGCGCAGTGAGCATTTCCATGGTATTAATTTTCGTGGTTAAGAAGTTACCCACAAAATCCGCAAAATTAAATACCCCACGGAATTTTCCAGCCATACGGTACTCATATTATTATACCTTGTGTTGGTATCAATTGAAGATCATGTTCATATGAACATGTGACCTATTTGTTATGACAGTTTAAGTGACATAATATCAAGAGTTTATACCAAGTTTGATTCCATGACTTTTAGCCACAAGGAGTTTTTGCAGATGCACTGTAATGAAAATTTACCCTTGTTTTTTATGTGAATAATGAACTGAGCTGAAACATCAAATAATTTTTTTACAGACATTTATCTTAACATACTATTTTTTAACTGATTGGTTGAAAAAACAACATCATCATTTCCATCAATAGACAGAAACTGTCCAGTTGAACAACATTTTAGTACAACAACATCTTTATTTCTGAATTGTTTCTAAATTATAAAGTCACAACACAAGCATACAATAGGTATAAATAACTCACAAACTGACATGGGAAACATTGTACAATTTTCGAATCATTATCCTAAAAATAACAAATCAATAATTTTTGACAATATTTTAGTACTTTTAGTTCCTGCAATTGAAATATAGCAACAGTATCAAACTCATCAAAGCCACTGAAGTTACGCCTTACAGCATGTTCAAGTTGTGGTCTTGTCAGTATAGAACCAGTCTCTTCACTCATCCAGTAGAGCATTTTAATAAGACTGAAGAGTAGTCTTGTATAAATTAATTGGTTGTAATAAATGTACCTGTAAAAGTCTCGAAGTCCAAAGAATTCTCTTATTTGAAGATCACATATACTTTTATATGCACTTGCAAGTTCAATAAAATAAGGCCTTAGCCTATTAAGCACTGGATCATTGTCCCCTTTATCTGAGCATATACCACTAAAAATTTTTAAATAACCCATAAATTAATACTTATTATCGTACATGGCACTCTCTTTAAGGTCTTGAATGCTTGGTTCAGTACGTGTTACCATGATTCCTCTATTCATCTTAGCAGGATCAAGGGCCCAGTTTGATATACCAATAAAAGCCACTCTTTTTTCTCTGGAAATACGCTAAATATAAATTACACAAAATGCTTTTAAAATTTAAACAATAATCTCTTTACTTGATCATCACTTCCAGATCCTTCAGTTCCATCTTCAAGCAATGGATGTAATGCCTTTAATGGGAGGTAAGGTGATGCTTCAGCTAAACCAACTTCATCCAATACAACTACTGATACAAATGTTGTTGTGTCTCTTTTTTCCTGAAAGTTCTTGGCATTCACAAATACCTCAGTAATACTAGCAGGAGTTGATAACCCACTACATTGGTGGGAATGAAGATGGATCTATTATCAAAATCAATAAATAACTTTATAACTTTTAACATACTTGTTTGAATTGCTTCATTATTGTTTTTTTTGAATTTTTTCCCTTTAATGAATTCTCAATGATTGCTTTAGCTAATGATTTAGAGCTTCCAGGTTTCCCAACCAGAAAGAGTGGAATGCGCAACTCAATGCACACAAACATCATGAATATGTTCTCCCTTAGAGCAGCATTTTTAGCTATATTATTTTCAATTTCCATACAATCTAATAGTTTTTCTTGATACCTTTTAAAAATAATTTTTAATACTAACCAGACAAGAAAAGCTTACTTTTTTACAATTTTCTCATACTCTTGTAAATCAACAAAATGCAGTGGTGGTTTGATGCATCCTAAAACTTCAGTCAAAAATGCATCACGCGAAGCCATTCTTGCCAAATATGCTACACTAAGGGCTAGTAATAATGATCGAGTAATTTTGTCTACATTATCATGACCATTAATCTAAAATTAATCATTGTATGACTTTTAGCATTATACCCAGTAAACTACGTACTTGAAATACATTAGTAAATACATCCAAAAAGTATATAAATAGTACAAGAACTCGATCTACATCACGTAAACTCACAAAACTACGCTCATCCTATTAGACAGTATGGTTCACTTGGAAAATCAAAAATGATGACATTTACTTTCATTTGTTTGGAAAAATCTTGACATTTTGCTAATACTTCACCAATAGCAATCACATAATCATGAGAAACTTCATCTTTTTTTTGAAGCTAAAAACCTCATAAATTATAACCATTTTTCTGTTTATTATGCACCTTATTACGTGCCATTTGTAAAATATAGTCCCTTTCAGTTTCATATTTTAATTGTCCAAAATCATAAATCAATGCTTTCATACTGTCAGGTAATTCTAATACTTGATACACTAAATCTCTTAAAGGTATTTCTCCTGTTCAGAATAATAAATAGTATTTGGCAATTGTATTTTAATCTTGCACAAATATTATACCCAATTTTTCTGCATTGTTACCTGCTTCTTCATCTTGCCATCTTAATCCAGCTCCTCTTAATTTTTTTATCATCTCATCAGAATGTCTATGAGAAAATAATAATTTATAAAAATAGAAAGGAACTGCAATTACTTTCGATATGGATTACAAGCAGCTACAAACTTCAGAAAAGGTGGTACCAGTTTTCCTCTGCATCTCCCATCACACATAATTTCCTTTATAAGACTAATGACATCACTAGTGTTAGCTTCATCAAAGAACACTACAGTATCAATCTTATGCTTTCTATTTTCCAAAGCAGCAGTTTCTGCTTCATTGACACACTTAATAACATCGTCCTCTGTTGTTCCACCATGAACCTATCAATCTATAATAGTGACACAGTGTAATATTTATTTCACTTTAAGGATAAACATGTTTTTCACTTTTTTTTTGTTTGTGGCAAATTTACACATGAAACGAATCAAGTGAGTTTTACCACATCCTGTCTCACCCATTAATACAACTGGTATTTGACACCTGTATGACAAATTTTATAAAAAATTAAATTTAAGCACAGTGAAACCTGAATCGTGTCTGAATAGCCATTATTTTTGTTAAATTATCTTCGGTAAGAACATAGGTTTCATCTGGAGATTCAATTTTATCAGATTTAATGTTCATAAATTCTAATAATCTTTCGATTAGTTCATTATCAGAGCATTTGCTGCAAAATATCAAAAGAATAATATTAATAAAGGACCTATGCAAGCTCAAAATTAATATAAATTACCTTGTACTTTGATTGGGAATTTTTACAGATTTCGTCAGAAACTCAGACAACTCTTGAGTTATGTCAGCTTTAACTACTTTTTGAGTATACGTGTCTTGAAGAACAATCAGAGAATTCTTTCTTTCTAACTTAAGACCAACATGAGTGACAGAAGTTTGGTTTTTGTTGAAGAAGAGATATGAATGCATGCTAAAAAAATAGCTGCAGTAGTTGTTTTAGTAAATCTATCATACCTTTCATCCCAACGCCTTCTAGGTACATATTGATTAAGAATATTATCAGTACTTCCAGTTGACATTGAGGATGTAGCGAAATCCTACAACAAATAAAAAAGCAGATACATACCTAGATATGTACATTTATACATAAAACTTACACGTGACATCATTGTTATAAAATGAACAATAAAAGTTTTTAGTCCTGGTACTTCCTTGATTATATTTGATTGTTCACATGCAGTCAACTGCATATTTAAAAAGCAAACAAAATGATGAATGTCCTTCCATGTTGGAATCGATAGATTAATATGTCTAAGTATTTTAGTTTAATTTGAAAAGAAAGATTGCCATAATGAGTCTGACCTGATAATGGTATCCAGACATTTTTTATCTGACCCTTCTAGTGTACCAACAAATATAAACTTTTCAAGTCTGGAATCTTTTTGTTCCAATAACTGCAAGTATTGATAAACTCTTTGATACATTGGAGTTTGAAGCTCAATTGCAATAGAATCTAAATAGTTATAAGAAATATAAGCTATCAAACTATAAGAGTAACCTAACCATCAGTCATTGAATCACATAATTGTTTTGGAGTTAAACATTCTGTATTAGGGAATAATTTTAACAAGTTTACACCTCTTCTAGTCTGAGCGAACTTCCAAATGTAAGACTAGAAAATAAGGTATAGCCAAATATAACTGTAACTAATTATTATTTTACTTTAGCTGAGGGTATTGTTAGTTCAATTGCATATAATTGGGAAGGATGGGTTCTCCAAACATTTCCTTTAGAATCAGTCAATCCACCAAGTATCAAAAGACTGAATATAATGTCATCTATACTTTGAAGCACCTACATTATAATATTAAGTAACATAGAGCAAAAGCAGAATATTATGTAGAATATGAGGATTGAGGTTATTTTTTTTAGGATTTTGTCCATTTTATGATTATGAAATGGCTCATCAAAGCATTATAAATGACTAGATGAGCTTTCCTTTACCAAACAGTTCTCCTGCATGCATATAGTACCGATAGTATGCACTGGACTGAAGACCTAGAGAAGATCAAAAATTTTTTGCCACTGAAGACTCTTTTTCTTTCATCTGCTTTTATCAATAGAACAATGCCTGACAACTGCTTAAGTTGGTTTTTATATCACTCCCATGCACTTGTTTCAAAGGCCCCAAACTGAGATCAGGATCATGTTCATGGCACAAGGTAGAGCCAAGAGTACAAAATACAGACTTGCACATGTGATCAGCATGTTATATGTATACAAAAAGCAAGAGTAGTAGGAGTGCTTGTGAACTGATATACCAAGAAACCCATCACATAGACTGCATACAAATTTTTTTCAGTTGCAAAAAGTTTATACCGTCTTGTTTCCTTATATTTTTACATTTCAATCCTACTAATACTCTTTCATATTTAAAATGTTTTTTATTTAATTAACATAAAGCGGCACAAAATGTAAATGAGTTAGTACAGGGTCTTTGTGGGTCAAATTTTGCCAAAAATGAATAGGAAAAAATGCTTCATTTTAAAAACTTTCTTGATACACTTACATTTTCTTATGTTCTGATAAAAATTAAATTTTTATGACATTTAAAAGTTACTCCAAATGCCACCTACTGCTCATAAGCAT